GCATCTAAGAATCCATTGTTTATATTTCGCGCCAAAACAAGCGTCGCGTTATGTTAGCTTCATTTTAATTTTGCAGTTGCGAGTGAGTAGATAGTTTGAAAATGCACAAGGAAATGAAATGTTTTGAGACATCGTTGAAGATATTAGAAGCAGCTTGTACTTTCTGGAATTAATGCAAAGCATTGTCTATTAAGAGGTATTGGTGCTACATGAAATTTGGACTCCAATTCAGAATACATAGGTAAGTTTAAACTACCTAAAACCAGTGAGGATTTTAGCATTTGCAAATTTACTTTCAAGCCTTTTTTTTTGCATTTTCTGTATTTGCTTCTACCTATCATCCGGTGGTAGTTTTTAGGACACTGAGAAGCAATGCTTATCAAGCAGTGTCCTGGTCCTTCCCCTCGATGTGACCACACCTAGTGATTCTTACGCCTGGAATTACAGAGAGCTGGCGACTCTCCTCACTCTGGGTCAAAGTTTGCGCTGGTTTGTTGTTTAGCACCATAGCAATGGCTAAAGGCTACATTTTCAACAAGGTCATAGTTGCTTTGATCAGATTTGAGTGTTTGGCGGGAATTTCAAGCATTTGACTCTAGAAATTATTTCGCTAATCAAGTAGTCATAATTGTTGGGTGCTTGGTGGGAAGGACTACGCTGTTTGTTACAGACAGGGTTTTTGTCAGCTATTCTGCTAAAGCCCTGTATGCGGGGACGAAATATAAGCAAATGTTAAATTTAATTTATTTTCAAAGTTCAATTACATAACATTGGATTTTCGTTGTCGTTTTGCCTTGTTCCTGACTATTACCTTCATATAATTACTGATTGCAAGGCTCACAGAACCCCGCGGACAGTTTATCATGCATGTTTTCCAATTCAAACACTTTTTGTCTGCTGTCTTTTAGTGTTATCTGGGCAACATTTCAACATGCTAAAATGTGTTCTTCTAAAGAAGGTGATTTAAAAGACTTACTTGTATTTTTCTGTATCATTTAAAGGTACAGGAACCATATCCTCATGACGTTCTGAATTAAAAAGTTTTTAGATGCAATATAAATAGTGTTAGGGCGGATTTCAGTGGCCCAAAGGAGACTACAGACTACAAGAATGGTTCATACAGACAACAACAAGGATGTAGTTGTTAGAGTTTAACAATGGGGGCGGGGGGGGCTGGTCTACAATTTTCGTCCAAATTGAACAGCAGATGACAACAACTGGTACAATTTCTCCGTGGTCTTGAAAAAATACCATGTTGTAAGTTACTTCTACAGTTAGTTAACAAGCAGCACTGGTTGTCAACTTAGATCCCTTTTCCCAACAATCCTTTTTAATGTTAACAAAATCTGGAGCTCGTTGTGAATTGCAGTCGAGGCTTCTACCGAAAACTTTAGGTGAAATTGACTCAAAGCACAATTTTACATAAAGCGGGGCTGGATTCTTGGATTTAGTGCCAACAGGAAATCTTCAAATCTTCAAATCATTAGTTTGTTTACCTTCATTCATATCAAGGAATATCATATTTAACCAACAAAGCATCTACCTTTGCTTGACCCTTTATTGATTTTATGACATGAAGGTCTCTGAAATAACTTAAACGTTTCTTCCACCGAGCGGTTTTACCTGACACTTCCTATTGAGATACTATTTGGGGGTGACACCCTTCACACCCCCCGGTCGCGACGCCCCTGATTGGCATTTTCTAGTCTTGAAAGGATGTGTAGTCAGCGTGGCAAGCAAAACTTTTCATCTTGCCGTTTCGAAGAAACTATACCACCAGTGGCGTCACCAGTTCGAAAAAACTGGGGGTGGGAAAAGCAAAAAGCAATTTTCTTTAAGTATTTCTATCTATCTTGACATTTTTGAACAAGCACCTTTCTCAAGCAGTGTTTTTCGTAACGGTGGCTTTTTTGCCAGTGTGAAAATCGAAATCGATCTGATCGGCTCAACTCCCCCCCAAGGTTTTTCAACGGATTTCGAGAAATTAGAAAGTCGACTGCTGGGAAAACTGGGGTGAACATGTCTACCCCGGTCCACCCCGTGGTGACGCCACTGTATACCACCTAAATTATCAAATAGGTTTAGCAAACTTTCATCACGTAATTCAAACGCTGGTGCAGCACAAATGGAGTAGTAGCATTTGATGATACTACTCCAGCATTATCATCTACTCCTAAGAGGTTATACAGATATGAAATACTGTGAAACACACAGAGATAAGTTAAACCGGGAAAGGATAGTGTTGAAGCTATCATCATCAATTTCCAAAGTATCTTTAATGAGAAAGAGGCTGTTTTGAACAGCGAAGGGATAGTGTTAAAGCTATTATCATTAATTTCTAAAGTATCTTTAATGAGAAAGAGGCTGTTTTGAACAGCGAAGGGATAGTGTTAAAGCTATCATCATCAATTTCCAAAGTATCTTTAATGAGAAAGAGGCTGTTTTGAACAGGTTGAATTCAGGAAAGCCTGACATCAAAATTGGGACAGAAACCTGGCTCAACAATGATGTAAAGCACAGTGATGAATTATCCCCTGCAAAAATTAAGAAGTAGAAAGAAAACACAGGCAGGACAGCCATGGAGGTAAACTGCTTGCTTTTAAGAAGGATTTAAACCCCCGAAGGATATCTATCAATGCTGCAGGAGAGAAAATATGGGTGAAAGTAACTCGTGAATCGAGAAGTCCAATCATAGTAGGTTTTCTATACACCATGATCAGATATGTCATACATGCAAATTCTGCGTTTATCAGCTGTGGCCATGATTACGAAAATTAAGAATGCAATATTTTGGATAGGTGGGGACCTTATTCTACCTGATATAGACTGGAGTTTGAACACTACTGTCAGCCATCAAATGCTAGGACTTCATACGATGACTTTCGGAAATCGTTTAATATAGTACCTCGCAAACAACTGCTGGCATCCGAAAGTTCTGAGGTTGGTTAAATAGAGTGTAGTTATCGGAGGTACAAAAACTGATGAAGTAGATGTCACATCAAGTGTTTCCCAAGGCTCAGTGCTAGGGCCGATCCTCTTTCCACCTATATCAATGATTTGCCAACAAAGAGAAAACACAAGTACAACTTTTTGCCGATGATTTTGCTCTTCAAAGCGACCTTTACAGTCTACAGGAATGGTTCATGTTGTTGCACACTGAGAAAGGTCTTACGAATGACAAGGAAAAGCACTCCCTTAGGGCCACATTTAAAATAAAAGACCATATTCTTGAACGTGGAAGAGCTAGTTTCGTCAACAGCAACTACCGGCAAATGTGAAATGAAGAAGGTGGAAGGCTTCGCTGAAAGAAGAAACAAAGCGAAGATCATCAAAATGTAATAGATACAAATTCAACACCAGTTAAACTCCATGGACCCCGTAGCAATGTGCGTTTTCATGTACCATACTGTAAATCAGACACATCATTTAGATCCTCTGTTGTACCTAATGCTCCAAACATTTAGAACTCGTTAAACCCAAATACTAGAGACGAGAACTCATTGAAAAGGGCGTTAGATAGAATGAACTAAACCTTTTTAAATATTAATAATTCGATTATTGCGAGCATTTTAGCTATGTGGTCTTCTCTCACCCAACTGACGCAGCAAGCCTCGACGGCCTTGCTCCATAAATTTTTTCTCGTAACCTCTCCTATTCACTGCTGGCTTTAGACAGAGAACCAACCTAATGGCGAACCACCCAATTAGCCCCTCATTAGGAGATCACGCTGCTGAAATCCTTTTTTCACCATTGATTAGTCAATCACTAGTTTTAGTTTCTTTAATTTTACTAACCTTTGTACGTAATTCCTAAGTGCGAGTTAGTGTACAGTATCTATCAGAAGTTCCGTACATCTGTAGTGTGCAATACGTCTGTCCGTCCGTCCGTCCGTCCGTCCATCCGCCAGTCCGTCCGTCCAACCATCCGCCAGTCCGTCCGTCCAACCATCCGCCATTCCATCCGTCTGTTACACTAAACTGCAATCAACCTTGTTATTTACTTAACCTATATGTTTTTCTAGAACCGTTTCATGATTGAATTCATTTTACGAATGTGATTTCGAGTGAGCAATGAAAGAAATCTTTGCATATAAAAAAGTTTTTTCTGCTTCTAAGAAAGTTGCATTTCAAAAAAAGAATCTTGAAAGCTGCTGATGTCTTACGGACTCAGATGTAGGCAGGCACAGTGTTCAACATCTTTGCAGCTTTGGAAATATGAAAACTTATAGATGTTTGTGTAACAGTAAAGTACCTGGAGAGTCGCTTGGCACCTTATGCAGTTCTTACGTCGACGCCACATACCCTTTTTTCATTTATTCCAAAGGGGAAAGCAGGGTTGTCTGCATCTAATACTCTATTTTTTGTCTTCAAAGATAGATGCTTCGAAATGAATTTCGTTTACCTTGTTAATATCATTTACCGAGTCAAGCGTGACACGGACACTGGGTTAGCCAAATCGTCCGTTTGGAAAGAAAAAGCCTATCCTTGAAAAAGCCACCCCACTACCCACCGTATATACCCAAAACAACATTTTTCTCTGTAATTTAAACTTTTTTAACATTTCTATTTCACAACAGGTTTATTTCGTGCCTCCAAATAAATTTTCCCGAAACTATTTAAGTGACTTTATTATCACAGAGATGGAATTGATTGCATTTGGATCTTGATTTAGGAAGTGATCAGAATAGCCCTTTATCTTGATTCATGACAGAATCTATATTTTTCACTCAAATCACATATAAACGATAAAGAAGCATTTTACTAGAAAAGTCTGAGTTTGAAAAAGAAATCAAAATTTGTATCACACGACGTTTTTTCAATAAATTTAGGATTCACAAAGATAAATGGACACTTGGATGACTGTAGAAGAATGCTAGGCCAGGATAGGGTGCGACACTCTCCAAGTGGGGTTGTGCTTTGTGTCTGCCCCCCTCCCTTCTGATTAAAATCGTCACGTTTAGTTTGCTGCAAAGACATCAAAGAAATATAGTTCAAGAAAGCTCTTGGTTTGACTTCTATTTTACGTTCATACATTATTTCCATCCATAAGTTAAGTAAATTTTCTTAAATAAACTATTAGACAGCCTTAAAATAAACATATTCCAAAAAACAGACATATTTTACATTTATCTCACTAATAAGTACATTTATCCCACTCATAAACGCAAAAAACAATGATCGTCGTTTCATCAACCTGCTAAAATCATACAAGTATAGAGCAGTATTTATAAGCAGGCACACGATAGAAGTGATTAAAGCATTCAAACATGGGCGTAGGGGAGGAGACTTAATATGAATCTTTCCCGAATATCATAGCTATACTGCTCTAATGGAGCCTAAAACACGATAAATAGTGCCTGATTAGAGGAGCTGCAGCCCTCCAAGCCCCAATATCTCCTACAACTATGTGCAGAAGCAATACAGGAGGGGTTGCCAAAACAACATTTTACATTGATACCCCGTCTATACGAGTTAAAGGGAATCGGATCTTAATTGCATTTAGATAGATATGGATTATCTCCATTTAATGTCACCGATTTTATATAATGATGTTTCACACTTCATAAATGTAACATCACAAAGCCATTTATGCTGAAAGTCGTTGGTGAAATATAAACACTTCTTATCTCGACCCCCCCCCCACCCCGGGTAGAAACCTCATACACCCCCACCCCACCACCCCGGGTAAAAAGTTTCAGTCATCAATATAAATGTTATGGAAATTACTTGTTGAAAATTTTGATTTTCAGACAATTTTATTTTGTCAGACTTGCATAAAAAAGATATCGAAGAAAACTCTAAGAGGATTTCTGTTTCGTATGAATGCAAGTTGTTGTAAAATTTGCCAAATTTCAGACAAATTTAGAAGATATCTTAAAAATGAAATCATCATTCTTTGACGGCATTTGCCGTTTGCACTTTTGTTATTTAATGTCACCGATACCCAATTGCTTAAAGTTTCTCAAATAGAATATTCGCTTTATTTGTCAACTAGAACACAACGTTAGCTTGTGAAACTGATTCTTGCATCTTGCAGCATTTTTCTACATCTTGTCTGGATCTTCGCGTATCTGCTTTAATTCAAAAGATTAATACATAAAATTCTGTCTCTGGAGTGGCAGAATATCAATTGAAAATTCCAGCTTTAAAAGACCAGTGAAACATTATTTCAGCAAATAATTGGCACTCAAATTATTGGCAAAACCAATGAATGAAATAACATCATCGTGCTCGAGGACATAAGAGAGTCTCTTACTTTCTTTAGGACTAAAGAAAATGAGTTTTTCTTACAAGATGCATAAACGTCGACAGGTAGAACTACTTAGCTTTATCAAAAAAGTGAAGACCTAGGACGCCCGTTTCCCTTTACTGGTACACTGTCCAGTAGTTGAATCAACTTAACGAAAAATTCCAAGTTTCACGAAATCTTACCAAAGTAAGAGAGATAACTCCGAGGAATCTGTTTAATTACGTAATAATACGACTAAGTCCTGAAATCTATCTACTTCGTATGTACAATCAATAAATTTTGACATAAATTCAGGTCATTTGTTATAGCCCATCCTCATTCAGGTTTGAATATCTTGCTTCCTAGGGAAAAAAGAATTAGTTTACAGAATGTCATGCACAGATGCTTGCTTATTTAAAGAAATCACAACGGGTAAGTTCATTTCGGTGCCTTACAACTGTTGAATGATATGTTATGAATGAATTTGCCTAGAACAATGTTTAGCTTTCTGGCAACCTAAAAATTAGATTCGTCAAAGGCAACATACAGGTGCATACAGGAGCCATTGACAAATAGCCAATCAATAATTGTGATACAACACACATGCTTATTGGATGGCCAATTAAAAATGACAGATGGCTTCAGCCACTTTAGCATCTGGCGATCGTTCCACGGCAGACAATTGTGCCGTTGTCACGTGTACCGTAGGAACTCCTTCAATGTTCTGTCAATTGTTCTTAAAATACACTGTTCTTAAAATGGTTTTAAAAAAAGCAAACATTTCACAGCATACTTCTAAAAGCTTTTTTGTCTGACACGCCTCATGTTTTCCCATTGCTAACAATTAACTCTAGAGTACTGCTAGAATATCAACTTAATTTCTGCCTTTTCCTGAATAAACATATTTCTATATAAAAACAAGATGAAACTCTCCCTCAGTCTTTACATTAACTCAATTCGCAAAGGATGCTTAGAAGAATTCGATGATGTGGCCCAAATACGCTTAAAATTCACAACTTACCAGCGAATTGAACTCGTGCGAATCAACGTCGGGGGATCTTTCTGCTCCATCGATGATTGTTCGCAGCTTGTAAATGGTGATAGTAATGTTAGCAAGCAGTACCGACAGAGCAAATAAGGCCACCTCTAGAATAAGCGAAAAGGAAAAGTGCAGGAAAACTAGTTTGCGCTTGTCATCTTCTTCTTCGTTTTTGTTTCGCCGCATCTTTTCGACTTGTAATATTCGAAACACGATGCTAGCTAGGGTAAACATCGTCGTAACAATCGCAAGAACGACAATCAGCTTCGCCTACGGGAGAAGATGATAGTTAAAACAAAGCAATGAAGGATATAACAGACAGGCATCCATGACAGTTGCAGAAAGAGCATTGGATTGCGGACCCCCTCATGAAAAAACAGTAGATTCAAAATACCTTTATTATTAAGACGATATTTTATTCTAATTTGAATGTGATGATTATGGGATAATCTTCTGACCAAAAAGCATCGCTGCCTTGAAGTTTTTGCAACATATTAAGTATTAAAGCTGTTGAAATATTCTATTGAAAGACTTCTTACCAAACACCATCTTTTACGGATCCTTGGTTTGTAAACATAGGTAAGTCCTAATATGCCAGCAATCGCAGCCTGTAAAAGAAGGGATTTATTTCATATTTCGACGCCCTGATAGATACATATAAAACAAGACAAATTCCATTGAAACCCTACACAGAAGGTAAGCTATTCCAGTGACGAAAAAACCATAAATCCACGTAGAAGATTTTTTGGCCTCACTACTAGAAATTCGTTCTAATATATCAACCATATTCATGCAACTGGTGTGAATTCGGTTTGTACGCAATAGTCAAATCTTTAACTTTTCATAAATATCAATAATCGTAATTTTTAATAATCTTTTAGCATTCTGCATATTAACTAAGCGTTTAGTCAAGGCAGAAAGATCAATTTATTGAAATAAATGCTTGCTGTTACAAAAAGTGCAAGTCAGTACAAGAACCTTTTACGTTGTCATAGGTTCTATAATGTTTGAGGATGTCAATTTTTACAATATTTTAATATTTATGTTAACGCTGATATCATAAAGTACAAACAGTCAGCATTAACTGAATCAAAGAAATCAGGCTTTCAAACATGGGCTGGTCAAGGCTGTATTTAAAACCATTCAGTCCTGTGAAAAAATATGCTAGAACGAAGCAGTTCGTGCTGTTATTTTTTCTTTATTTATTTAAAGGCAGTCTGTCCCCTCCATGATTGGCTAATATGAAAAATAGGTCTTCCCACCTTAACGGATAACAAATTACAATGCTTGCTTTGGCAGGCCTAGCTGCGGTAGTGGACGACATTTAAAACTGCGAGCAAAAAGCTATCGGAAATGTCAAGAAGATTTAATTACTGAAATTAAATGATGATAATGGAAGCATTTCCTTTCGCTGTTGACTTATTTGTCGCAGAAACCAAACAGAGAGCAATATTTTTCTAGCCACAGCTTCACTACAACGGGAAAACAGGCATTTGATTCGAAAGCTCTGTAATCAAAGTTGCCTCTGATTGGTGTTCAAAAGTTTATTCATAATCATCACGAGCTATTCTCGTTGCTCTTTCATGAATCCGGTTTATCCGGCTATTACTTTTCCTACTGCAAAACATCCAAAAAAGAGGACAATAACTAAAATGTGATAATATGAACGTTTTCATTGAAAGAATTCGCTTAGATTCGTCCATATACGAAGCAATCCTGGCTAGAGAGTACATGGATACATGTTCTGATCTCAAAATGAAACAGAGTATTAGCATCTAAGATGGTTGCTAAGAGAGATGTAACTTTGGCTGACAGCTTAAGAATAAATGTCATTAATACCTAAATTTTAGTTGTAATGTGATTAATCTTGTAGTTGTAATCAAGGTCGATAAAAATTAATTTCAGCAATAATATATACCGCAAATCAATAAAAATGAGAAATTTTGCAGCTTTTGAAAATAGTCACAATAACACATTTCTTAAGCCGGTTTAAGAAAAGAAGGTCAAAATCTAAGAAGTACATGCCATTAGCTAGCTACTCGTCTTGCTGGCTTTCCGCTAAACATTATTTGCGTAATTTTGCTTTACTGTGGTTTCTTTCTTTGTTCTATACAGCAGTGGTGCCGTGGAGGGGGCTCAGAGAGCTCAGACCCCTTGTTAAAAATTTAGAGATTTTTTTGGGGGGTGGGGGGGGATGGTGCTCAGACACGTAAAAGACAAAAGCGGTCACAGCTTGAGTTTGGAGGTTGCGCTTTTTGGAGAGAGATGCATGTTGCTTCGAGGTTTTCTTAATAAGGGTCCGAAAGAACACGATGGAAGATATATACCCAGGTGTGGATCGAAATAGGCCAATCAGAAAAAATCCAAGCACAATCGTGTTCTTTCGGACCCTTATTCTGACGTTTTATACTCCGAGGAATGTCAGCCACGTTTGACGGAGACAGACTAGGAAAAAATTTGTGGAAACCCTTCCTTTATTTTGTGATGGAGAATGGCTTACGAGTTGTTAAATAAGGCTTATCTGGGAAGTAAATATGTTTTCATAGAGGGACACATGTTTCTCTACATAATATCCATCCTTGTGTGAAAATTTGGGTCGTATTCATGACCCAAAAGGTTTATCTATACAAACACAGCTACGTGTTGAGTTGAGTAAATTGAACTTTCACAAATTTAAGCATAATTTCAGAGATACGTTGAACCCCTTGTATGCAATTAATGACGGTATTGAGGACACGGAACACTATATCTTGCTTTGCCATACTTAATCAAGCAGATAGACGGGATCTTCTCAGCAGTATAAATGCGATATTGTTGCTTCATGGTTTGATAAGGCTCTCAAATACAGAGTTGTTGGATGTCATCCTGTATGAACAATTATCTTCCGATTCAAATGCGAAAAATCTCAAAGCAACGCTAGCGTATATCCATGCCTCCAAACGTTTTGAATAAGAAACAAAAAAATTTAATTCTTCTTTCTTGTAATTTCTCGTAACTTGCAATTCTTTTTTATTCTATTTTTAAAATCATTCACGTATTGAAAAAGTATCATTTTGTAGTTGTGTTTTAGATCCATATTGGTTTTAGATCAACAGGGGGTAGTCATGGTATTTTGCTCCTCCTGGTGTTGCCTTGTAGTGTTGTACGATAGTTCGTTAGTTAGTAATTCGTTATTGTAAACTTTTATATGGGATATAAAAATTTACTGTCTTGCTACTAAATTTGCCCATTTCACGGTTACAACTCTTTCAAGAGGTAATTGTCCTTTGTTGATGTTCTCTGCTTCAGGAAATGCCGACTGCATGGTCAAAGATTAAGATGATTAGAAATATAGAGAATTGTGATTCCTATAATGTGAATATAGGAATTAAGAGAAGGTGCAATCGGCAATTGAAACTACACATGGTTTTTCTTTCCGATGCAGGCACTGTCATTTTTCGTGGGAATGTGACTGGCCTGCCTTGCCTAGTGCGGTAAACGAGGAGGGAAATTGTATCAAGGGGACTGGTTGCGCCTTACGCCTTAATGTGTTTTAACAAAGATCGATTTTACTCATGGAAGCAAGTTTTGCCGCAAGAGAATACGTCCTTCACCAAAACAGAATAAAGTAAGCTTTTCTGCAAGCGAGTACAATCATTGCCAACATTATTTGGAACACCCAGCAATGTGTTTTAATATTTTTCAATTCTTTTCCCGAATATTTCTATTTCCTCACGCACACCCTTCTCCGTTAAACAAGAAAGTGCTCCTTGGCGTAATATAGAGAATTCGTTATAATTTAAGGATAGGTTTTGGTGTACGAAGAACGTTTAGCAGCCATCGCATTTGTTTGAATGTCTTGTTTTACGTAGTTTATTATAATTGTTATCTAAAACAAGACAGTTTGTAAAGCACTCTGTCTAATTATGTTAAAATGAGATGAAATGAAGGTTTCTCGACAAATAAGTAAATTTCTTCTATTGATGCGAGAAAAAATGATAAAATGAGCATGATTGTCGCAACCACATGACGTCACTTGCCTAAATATTCGAAAATCTTGACACTTTGTTCAAGAGCTGATATTCGAATTAAGATAAACTAAGCAATTATATTGACATTAACCATTCAAGAGAGCGCTTTTTTTCTAAAATTAAACATTGAGTGAATACGCCCAGGAAACTACTAGGATAGTTATTAGACATCGCAATTTCATGCATACTTCCTAATAACGATGTGATTTAAAAAAGGGTTGGTATGTTGTTCTAGTTATAATTAGTATCATCTACGACAAACAGAGGAAATTATCCAATATGAATTTGCCATATAAACACATTGATAGGCTGTGAAATATTTGATTCATGAAAGCCATAAAGCGTATGGAAATAGGTTAATGCGCAGGGACAAAACTAATGGCTCTAAATTTCCTGTAGAAAAGATTGCCAGCCAACCCTGTCGGTATATTCATTGTTAAAATGCCTTAACCGAAATAATGATTTAGAATATACATGTATTGAAAATTACGGTGAAGTTTAGATGGTGTCTATGTCCCAGAAAGCTACAAAAACTTGGGAAATTTCCAAAAATATCAGAGTTCCAAAAAATGGAGGCACCCTAGCCTCAGACACAAAATTGTCTCCCTGGGAAAATCAGATATAAATAGAGATATTCTCAAACTCAACTGAAACAGAAGTTTAAAGTTAAAGACCTTCGTTAAATTTCCTATCACATTCTGTATAAGACAAATGGCTGTGATCTGTGATACTTCTTGCATTTTTTAAACTCGATAATACAAAATCCAATTTTCGGCATTCCGTTGTTTTTAATCCTTTACTACAAACCACGAGCTTTTCTGTGCTTAGACTAGGTCAATTCAGTTGAAAAGGTTGAAGAATCTCGGTTTTTTGTCTTAAAGGTCATTGACAAGATGAAATTTCTCGTATGTTATATCCGAAGTCATTGGTGTAATAAGATGACATTTCAAAGCGCCTTCCAAGGAGATAGCCAATAGATTTGTTCCACTTTTGTTATAACCTTTTCATCCTTCATAGAGTCGGAGCACATTGGAACAATACACATGTGTCTTGCAAGCCGTTTCAAAAAAGATATATTTTACTTTGTTTTCAAGGCGCATGTTTCCTCAATTAATTGACCTGACCTGGGCAACTTCTCAACAAAAATAAGCAAAATGTTTCAAGCTTCTTGTAATCCTTAATTTCTTCTGCGTCAATGAAAACAATGAAAAATGTGGCAGAAATGCCACAGTACCTACATTAATTGTTCATAGCCCCGAAATAGGGACAGCAAAAAGTACGGTGGCTTGGGAATAAGATTCCTAGAAAATTTTCAGAGTTGACAAAAATAATTTCAAAAATAACGATATTAGATGAAAAGTGATTGCATTGTGAGCTATTACAGCAAAAAATCTTGGCTCTTGAAATTTCAATTGAACCAAAACTCAAACAAAATAAAAATTCCTAATAAACATTTTTCAGTTTTTCGCCATGTTATGGCATGCGATTCTATCCCCTGAAAAATTTGGCTCATTTAATGCCTTCCCAGAAAGAACATTTTTTGCATTCATGCCCAAAATTGACAGAATTTTTGTGACTGTATCCCTTCAACAATTGAGTGTACCTCTATGTATTGTTTCTGAGTATCCCTTGGGTTTCCAGGGACCTATCATACTGTATGTAACTGATTGACGGAAATTTCGAGTCAACAAATTGCTGTACAAGCACAAAGATTTTTGGGGCTTCTTGGCCGGACACAGCAATTCAAATTGTTGTTAAGATTGAAAATTGTTTGGTATTAGAAACCTCTTAGCTATAAACTAATTACAGGGTTGAATTGGATTGACCTCTCGCATCAAACACAGCCGCCTTTTGATCCAAGGTTTCCTAGTGGTATAATGTGACTGCTTTGGCGACCATTGTATAAAGCCACATGAAACGTTTTAAGAAGTCTCATTGACGTTATAAATATACAGCTGAAGAAATGTATATAAATTTCAATTATGCTTTACTGTTGCAAGCACACTTATCAACTATTTTACCAATAACTAATATATCACCATTTTTGCCTGGGTAACTTGTTTTTGATAACGTGTAAAGATTGGAAAAGGCCTACAAGCGTTCAAAATATTGTGAAACTGAGTCGAGTTTTAGCATCTTCCTCAACAAAGCAATGTAGTTTGCTTGATTTTCTGAAGGTGTGGATGGTAGATCTTAGCTTCAAACGACATAGCTTGGTGCGAGGAGTTGGATTAGTGAAATGTGAATTTTTTTCTTAACACTGGTCTATGTGTATTTCTGAAGAGTTTTACGTGCAATCTAGATGGGATATGCAGGGAATGAACCTTGTAAGCATTCTAGACCTCAATTAGCCATGGCACTTTCTTCATGCAAGATTTTGATAAAATAGTAGAGGTTGAATCACTATCTAAAGGCTTCCCCGAAACGAGATTATTAATCACACAGAAATTCCTGACACGCGATAGGCCTAGCCTATTTGTGCTTGAGACCAAATACAAGATCTAAAGACATATTAAAACAGACGGGGGTTCAAATTTGCACCGCCATTTAACGTGCAACATAGAGGGCCTAGAATAAAGCATAATCGACACATTAAAAGGTTTACCTAATTGAACAAAGCGTAAATATTTTACACCAATTCAGATCAATCTCTTAGCATAGGTATCCATCTACTCCAGTTCCCCCACTGCGTACACTTTACTACCTTTATCAGTGGTGTTGATTGTGGATGTGAATTGTAATTAGCCTTAAAAGCTCTTGCCCAACAGGCATGCTTTGCGATTTATTTTCAAAACCGGCCTAATATTGTACTGTTTGAAAATACGACACACATTTCGTCTCGTGTAAAATGACAGCAAGGCATGCCGGTTGCTCAAGAGCCTTTAAACTATAGCTTGTATATTTTGAGCCTTTGCGTTATTGGCAACATTCGTATTGCCGTCAGCTTGTCTGGAAAATCAAGAATCTTGAAAGGTGTCTATAATTCCTGCTTCTTCCCGCACGCTCATTTGTTATAAGTGCAATTTCATATGAACACGAGCCTCATGTTTGGTCGAAAGTTCAGAACAAAATTAAGAACAAGCTCAAGCTGAGCTATCGTAAAATGTAATTATGAACAATGTTGTGAAACTCTATCAACAAATTTCAGCACAGAAAACGAGGAGATATTTGCAATCTATGGGTGCTATTTCAGTGAATTTCAAACTTGTCGGAAAATAAAGGATGGCTCACTCAGTTAATAGGCAAATGAGCCCTGAACAGCCTCCTAGAGAACGATGATTGCAAATCC